AGTGCTCTGTGTGTGTGTGTGTGTGTGTGTGTGTGTCTGTGTGTGTGTGGTGGATGCTTTCCATTTAAAACAGTCATCTGATTAAATAAAAACAAGCAAAGTGCTTTAGCAGAACTATTTCCCACCAAAGCTGTGTCAATAGAGTTTTTTTTTTTTTTTTTTTAAGAAGTGTCTGAAGCAGAAACAACTAATCCCGGCCTGGAATCAAGTTGGCCACAGCTGTCCTTCCTCTGGAGTCTGTGGCCAGATGTGTTTGTGGTCATAGAGAGAGAGGAGGTAGGAATTGATGGGAGCAGAGCTCCCACATAAGAGTGGGCCCAGAATCCTACTAACTGTCTGCATTCACCCAGAAAACTTCAGTACATGCAGGAAGTTTAAGGTTGTACTCTAATATTACAAGGGCGGTATTCCCCAACTTCTGCATCCTAACAACTACCCTGTTAGAGCCTCTCCAGAGGCCTATACAACCTGATTCTGGGCATCCAAGCATGGGTCCCCTCTCCCAATCCCAGGAGCAGAATGAAAAAGTGCAGAGCAAGGCTGCAGGCATTGCAGTACCTTCTCTACCCTCAGTGAGCTCAGCTGTCCTACAGACAGATGGGAAGTGCCAGCAGATCCCTGGCTTCCAAACTATCCTCCACTCCAATGGTTGCTTTGGACGCAGGAATTCTACTATTAGCAATGTTTTTCTCTGGAGTGAAGTTTCACAATTCCTTGGATTCCACCTCTGGCAATTGCATAGTTCAGCCAGAGGACCCTGGGGTGAGGGGGGGGCTGCTGTTCTACATCACAGAAAAGGCAGGGGGCACAGGCTATCACCAGGGGAATGTCCACAGAGTCTGCTCCCAGGAACATCAGCTCTGATGCTGCCAGAGTACAATAAGAACGAATTCACCTATTTCCTTTCCCTTTAACCAAGTCAACCTAAAGAGATTAATTTCCCCACTCTACCCTGCCTGCCACTGTGGGCAGCACCTGCTTCTCTGTAGCTTCCATACCTCTACTCCTCCTTTCCAGCATTCCTAACTCATCAGGATAATATCTATTTGCTAAATAAAACTAAACCTTTGACCCTGACAGCTTTACCCAAGGTCACACAGGCAGCCAGAAACACATTTGAAACTAACTCTTGAAAATATCTACTGCCTTAGGATACAGACCCATGTGGCTGGGCATCAGTGGCTCATATTCATAATCCTAGCTACTCAGGAAGCTGAGATCCAAGGACCATAGTTTGAAGCCAGCCCTGACATGAAAGTCCATGAGACTCTTATTTCCAATCAACTACCAAAGAGCCAGAAGTGGAACTATAGCTCAAATGGTAGAGTCTGAGCTTTATGCACATTAAACTCAGGGATAGTGCCCAGGCCTTGAATTCAAGGCCTAGGATGGGTGTGCACATGTATACCACACAACGTATACACGCGCGGGCACACACACACACACACACACACACACACACACAGAAGCTCACAGAGATCCATGCAAGACATGTCCATACATTACTCAGGGTGACTGCATCCCAGGACACAATCCTGCAAATGAGGCCACCTCCTATCAAAAGCCAGTGCTGCCAGACTGACCCAGAAGGGGTGGGACCTGCATCAGGCTCTGGTCAGAATGCTTCATGTGTCTGAATGTATCGGAATGTGGAGCTGTGGGGAGGGTCTTGAGAGATGCGATTCTTCGGCTACCAGTAACTGCTGGCTGCATTGGAAGTCAGAGAAAATGCATACATGATTGATGCATTATGATAAGCTCTGTTCATCTAGAATGTAAGCTTGTGGAGAGGAAGGGACAGTGGCTGGGCACAGGATAAGTGCTCAATGAATGTGTTTTTCAAAGACTCAGAAGAGTCTGTCTGGGCCTCAGCTGCTCATGTAAGGATGGTCTATGGGTGGTCTTTAGAGGTCAAAGAGCACACTGCTGATGTGTGGGTATTGGCAGGGGGCAGCTTCTTATCTGGATGTCAAAGCCTCTCCTCTAGGATCCTGGGTACTAGGCAGAGTGGGCCATCCACATCTTGGCAGTCTAGGGCCAGGTGACCACACTCTGCTGGAGTTGGGATCCCTGGTATCACATCTTTGATCTCGCCAAGGCCCTGGGTCAGGGCTCACCTGGGAGACGTGAGACTGTGTCCTTTGGCTCTCACCATCGCCCTCTGTCTTGTCGGTCAGCAGCCCCTGCACCTGGTACTCCAGCACGTAGCTGTCGATGAAGCGCTCTAGCTCCTCGATCTCCTGGGAGCGGCTGCTCCCTGCCTCTGAGGAGGCCGACGCTGCTGAGGAGTTCTCCATTCCTCTGGCTCAGGGGCCTGGGTGGGCTGGGGGGAGAGAGGACAGACAGGCTCCATAAGACACTGCTGGAGGCCAAGATGAAATATTCTCACCTCCGGCATGGTCAACCAATTGTCAGACAGGTGAGTGGTCTACAGGCTGATCTTTAGCCTAAAGAATATGCTGGGTTCTCACCATGCACAGAGACTAAGGCCAGAGAATGCAGATGATCTGCCTAACTAGCTAGCCTGGTTCCTCATCCTCAAAGGTTGCTGGTGAAGGGGAAAAAGAACAGCTCAATGCTGGGCTCCCAACTTGATTTACCAAACCCTGAGATAATAAACAAGTACTCCTGCAAGCCATCATGGTGGTAATAACTTGCTATACAGTGGTAGAAAGCTAACTCACGATGCTTCCCTCCCTTTTAGGGTGAGGGATCCCTTCCCTCTACTTTCCAAATCTAGAAATCACTATACTCATGAAACATCGGCGCAGTAGCAGTGTCTTAGACACCAAGCAACATGTCCGAGGTCACACAGCAAGGCTCCAAGTGAGTAGTCACAGCCCACCAGTCTCCTTCCTTCCTTCCCATAGCCGTCCTTCCCTCCTACCTTCCCATAGCCTACTACAACCTAAAGGATATCTCCCAGTTATTCCTCAGTGCCACCCCAACAAGCAGTTAATACACTGAGTGCTCTGTGTGTGTGTGTGTGTGTGTGTGTGTGTGTGTGTGTGTGTGTGCACGCGCACTCCCCAACTAAGTGCAGGTTCAGACAGGCAGTCTTGAGCAGGTTCAATGCCTGACGCTGGACAGATAGCCTGAGCTGAATGGGAACCATAAGGCTGATGTCCAGAGAGGACTGAAAAGGAGTCACCTGCGAAGACAGTCAGAATCTAGGGCCACGCCCATTAATCCTCCAAGACTTCAGGTCTTATCCAGGGCTCCCTGGCACACCTGACAGGTACATCCCAGAATGGACAGGAACTGGAAGGAAGTTGTTTTCAGAGGGATTGAAGGATTCCAGATTCTGCCTGTAATACAGGCTCCCAGAGCATCTGTCCCACTCTGCTGGGCTTTCTCAGGTACAACCCAGGAACTTGTGTTTGTCTCCACAGACATCCCTGATTTCCAGCCCTGCCCCTATTCCCTGCTAGGTGATGGATGGGGAGAAACAACAACAACAAAAACCACAGCAGGAACAGGAAAAGTGCTGAGGCTGCACTTCTCTGTGAGGAGTGAGGCTGGGGGGGAGAGGGGGAAGAGACAAATGAGCACGTGATGGGAAGGCCCCGGGTGCAGGAGGACCACGGGGCCCTTTGCCTATGGATAGAGCACAGGGCTTGGGGAAAGGGAAAGCCACACTGTCCTCCTGCGGCTGCACCTGTGTGTTAAAGGCCTGTGCTGCCGGGAGCCATGTCAGCCATTCCCCCCTGGAGCAGCTGCCACTACAGCCCTGGGTGCCTGGGTGCCTATTTTTATAGCCAGAAATGAAAATCACACTTGTTCCCTGGTGGAAAGGCATCATCCCTCTCACTGCTGGCCCCTCCTTCCACCAGCCCCAACATCCACCCGCTTCCTGCAGGCCAGCCTACTTAGAAAGCCAGCACAAAGCACAGGGCACAGGGCGTTAGGTCCCGGTGTCTGTCTCTTCTCTACCCGCTGGTGCTGCCTGGCTCTGAGCCCAGAGGTTCACAGTGCCCTTGGGGCTGCAGATCTGGAGGAAAAGGTAAGGCTTACACTAAGGGGTGCCCTGCTGGCCCAGAGACAATAGCCAGAGCCTCTCAGGCATGTCAGGATCTTTTCCCACCAGCGAGTGGCAAATGGCATTAGGAGCTACAAATTTAGCCAATCCTTTTAAGAACAGCCAGGTATTAGGGGCAGTACCTCCCCCTCCAATCCCCAGGGGTGACTTGGGATGACCTGCAAACCAGAAGCAGTGTCTTCTTGGCTGCCTGCCAGCCTCTGCCCTGCTGGAGGCAGCCTGACCTCCTGCGTTTTCCCTTCAACCCCTCAGCATTGAGTGAGCCAACCAGCCCGGCACCCTGCTGAATCTCCCACAGAAGCTGGGATGATTCAAGGTCTACTTGTTCCTGGCTTGGTTTTTGGCTTTGGGTTGCAGCTAGGGACTTAGTTTCCTTGGATCCGAGGCCAACTGCAAGTGATCTGGGGGTGACATAGAAGGCTTGCTTGGTGTTCCTGAGATCAGCAGCCTTAGGCGCCCCTCATCTGCTCCCCCCCACCCCAGCTGAGTAGCCACCGTGCATCTAGGTAACACCTGAACTATTCCCTCCCCTCCTCCTTACTCTTCTTTAATTCCACTCATCACACCCACCGGCTCCTCCTCACCTCCCCCAGCCCACCAGCATGTTGCTCCAGCTGGCCCTGTCACACATAACCCTAGCTGTTGTCTGTTGTACCCCATTCCCTCTGCCTCCTCTCCCCTTACCACCTCCCCAGACCTCTAGCAACACCTGCACCCAGAGCACACAACTAGGGCTAGAATTCTCCTTCACCAGATGCCAGGCAGCTCCCAGGCAGCCCCCAGACAAGGGACTACCATGCTACCTGCAAAGCCTATGAGAGGAGAAAGGTCAGACTGCCAGGAGAGAAGATGCTCATGGCCACACTGAGAAAGCCATGGGAACCCACTGCCTGCCAACTCCCTCCCCCTGTCCAGCCCACACCCCAGACCCTGCACAGACAGAACACCATCCCCCCTCCCCTCCCCTGCAATCTACTTCCACTCGGCTCAGTGCTGGCCTGATGACTCAGCCCCAGCAGTGTTTGTCAGAGACAAGCAGACATCTTTGGAAAGAGGAAAGGAGACATCTGTGGCCACAGCCTCTGGTCCCCAACCCCCGGGAAGTGAGAAAGTTCAGAAACAGTACAGTGCTGGTGGTGGGTGACCTTGGAAATGAGCAACATTTATGGTCCCAGAAGTTAAGGTCATCTGTCATCCTCTAAATGCCTGACTCGCCACCACTTCACCTCCAGTTTAATTCTTTGTTACACATCTGATGGGGTATTTTTCCAATTACAGGTGTTGGGGGACTTTGTGGGCTGCACACCAGATGTTGTGTGTCATGATCTAGGTATTAAACAATGTATCACTACATAGAAACATACAATGAAGGTGTAATTACTGTTTCTGAGACTTTTGCTTCACCTGCCCAGTCTGTGTTTCTTTAGTGAGGCAAGATAAAACAGCTGAAATCCACTGGTCCAGGGTGAGGCTTCCCATATTTCAATGACACACGGGTCACAGGGCATCTTGTTAAAATGCAGAATCAGCCAGCACCGGTAGCTCACACCTGTAATCCTAACTACTCAGGAGGCTGAGATCTGACGATCAAGGTTCAAAGCCACTCTGGGCAGGGAAGTCTGTGAGAGTCTGATCTCCAATTAACCACCAGAAAACTGGAAGTGGTGCTATGGCTTAAGAGGTAGAGCACTGGCCTTTAGCTAAAGAGCTCAGGGACAGCACCCAGTTCCAGAGTGCAAGCACCATCACCGACCCCCCCCCAAAAAATGTGACCCCTCAACAAAATGCAGAGTCAGATTCCATGGATCAGAGTTGGAGGGCCTGAGACCCCCTCCTTCCCTTCCTTTCCCCCCATCTTTCTCTGTGTCTGTCTCTCCCTGTCTGTCTCTCTGTCTTTTTGTTTTGAGACAAAGTCTTCCTGGTGTCCTGGCACATGAAATCCTGCCTCAGCCTCCTAATTGCTGAGATTACAGGCATGGCCAGTAAACCCGGTGAATTCTGCATTTCTAACAAGTTCCCAGGTTCATTTGTAGATTAGAGAACTATAACCCAGATCTGGATAATATCGTCAATCCTTTCTTTCTTGTAACTACCTTTTTCCCTTTGCTATTTTCCCCCACCCCTTTCGTCCATTGCTCATATACCCCACCTAGGGATAATGGTGCGTTATCCCAGAAGGAGGAGGAGGGGACCACCCCTCCTTGGCTCACTCAGGACAAGGGCAGAGCTTGCACAGTTGGGACTTGGCCAGGCTGGGCTTTCATATTCTGGTGGATGCTAGGCACCACTTCCACCTTGGACTTGCAAAGTCAGGCACATCTCAGCATCTGCCTAGAATCCTGCAAGACTGAACTTCAGACTTAGATACATCCAGGTGGCCCGATCAGCACAGGAGGGACTCCTGAGATCCATACCACATAACCACAAGCTCACATGGACAGCCCAGCCTCTATTCTGTGCAGATGAGGATAACTAGGCGGAGGTGAGTCAGGCTGAGGCTAGTCAGATGCCTCTGGCTAGAGACACAGCTTAGATACAGGCCTCTCAACAACCTGCCATGGTAGATAACCCCACTGAGAATCAGCTTCCCCTCCTGTGACCACTAAGCTCTGCGACTGCACCTACAGTTCAGGGTTATAATCACTAATATCAGGCAGGAATGATGACAGCAGACACCCTTGCCATCCCATAGTCCTTATACCTCACTCCGTGAGCCTCATCCCAGGCGGGGCCTAGACCAAGCCCATGGTCCCTTCAGAGCATCATGGAGAAAGCTAATGGAGCCTGGACGTGGACCTTGCTGCTTGGTCCTGGGAGTGGCCCGGGGGTGATTGCAAGCCGGGCAGGATCCCCCTGAGGGAGGGGGTTGGGGGAGCATTGGTAAAGGGAAGAGAATGGAGGTGTGTGGCTCCTACTCTCAACAACTACTGCCTCAGAGTCCAGGCCTCTATGAGCAAGTGTTTCTCCTGGAGGAGGAGGAAGACCTCCGCTGCAGTGGCTGCACTAGGGACAACAGGAGGGAGGGCATCATGGTGAGCTCTGAGGTTGAACTTCCTGTGTTATTCCTGGATGTCTGCACTTTGGGCCTCAGGCACCACAGGGACCTCACTGGCCGCTGGCACCGATCACCCGTCCACTCTCTTGGCATCTTCTTACCCTCCCTTTCACAGTCACCCAATCTCTCTCTGCTCTTGAAATTTTTATGGGGTTTCCTCTTGTCTTGACAAGATGGTAAGGTCCTTGAGGATTTGATCCTCCTACACCTGTCTCCTCCCAGCTCAGCA